CACAACTCTGTCCACCCCGCGTCCATTGTGCCTTTTCGCCGCTCCACAGCATCAGGATCCCCTACCCCAAGCCCGTACCTATACAAAAAGTGGTGAGAAAGAGCCAGACGAGCGCCCCGCGGCCCGACGTGGCCGGGTGGAAACCCAGCCTCCGGGAGATACCGCGGACCACTAGCGCCATCGCCGCCGTCTAGGCGCTGCCGTCCGCTCGTCCCCTCCCAGGTACCGGGCGGGTAAGGGGCGCAGCGCGTACCAAAGCTGGAGGGGGGGAACGCTCCTCCCCTTCCCGCTTTCGCCCCTTCTGTCCATTCCAACCCCACGTCGCCGCTCTTAAGAATCTTATAATCGAAGGTAAAGTGGATTAAATGCACACTCTTAACTTTTGGGGAGAAACTTGCTTGACCAACTGAGGTTATCCAAATATTGCCCCCTGCGTGCTCTGAAGAATGGATCCACCCAGGTACACAAGGCTGGGAGCTTGGGGCTGGGCTTGGGGGAGAATGACGGGGAGGGGCTTCGCCACCTCCCTCCCCGGAAATGGGCTGGCCCAGGTGCGTACCAGCCCAGAGGGGCGGAAAGGAGTGACCGGCCAGTCTGGAGGGCACCAACATGCCACCGGTCCAGATCGGTGCCCTACTAGTCAGAACGAGCCCAGTGGACCGAGATCCTAGGGAACCAAACCCGATACACCTGTTGAGAAGGGGCGGGTCCTACTGCACACCTGTTGCTTTCCTGCCCACACCCCTTTTTCCGAATGACGATGGACCCGCCTAGGTACACTCTGCAAGGAGAAGGGAGTGTAAACTCGGATTGGCAGAGGCTTGTCGGTTTCTCCGGACTATTTTACTAGCCCTGAGATTCCTTCTGTCTGGACGGAGGGAGGCGCTGCGGACCTGCGGTGCTTTCCTCTTGGATGGCTCATAGAAACAATCAAAGGGGATCTTTGCTCCCCTGGGGACGCCCGAAGGGCTGGAGACCCAAGAAATACTTAATTTATACTTTCGAAGTTTTCTTGACCAATTCCCATTCCCAACACGTGGTCTAACTCCCCGGCATTCCTGATTACAGGTCTGGCTTCCCGGCAACTCATGTTTTTAAAGGGGCCGAATGGAGGCAGCCTGCCAGGGACCCATTCCTCCGAGAGATTCAGATATGCCCTAGACTACTAAACGCAAGGTCGGCAGTTCAACCCCCTACAGCAGCTCTACGAAAGAAAGATAAGGTTTTGTGCTCCCATAAAGAATTATTAAGTGCCGTTGAGTCGATTCAGACTCAGCGACGCTGTGTAGTGTTTCCGAAAAGCAACAGGTGGGTTTGAACTGCCGACCTTGTGGTTTGCAATCCAGTGCTGATCCTACAGCGCCACATCATAAAGATTTTACACCCTCGCAAACCCTATTCAGGGTCGCTATGTGTCGGAATCTTGGTGGTGCTGTTAAGATCAGCACTGGACTGCTAACCAGTAAGTCGTTGGTTCAAATCCACCAACAGCTCCGTGGAAACCGAGTCTGCTGCACTTAATAATAGCATGCGTAGGAATCAACTTGGTGGCTGTGCCTTTCAGTGAGTGGGGTCACCTGTGGACGCGCTGGTGGTGCAGTAATTAAGCGCTAGACTGTTAACCAAAAATTTGGTGGTTTGAACCCATCTCCAACCCACCAGGTGCAACCTACCAGGTGCTCTGAGGGAGAAAGATAAGGTTTATAGTACGGGAAACCCTATAGAGCAGTCGCTTTGATTGGGAACAGCCACTATCGCAATGGGTTTAATTTGTGCACCTGCGCTCCAAGCAAGGCAACCAGAATGCGGGACGTCCACGCGGCTTTGCTGACCCCCAGTGGTAACTACGGGAAGTGCATTTTGGAGAATTTTAGGTTCTTTCTCACATTGTTGTCAGATGACTGTGTGCAACAGAACCCCCAACCGGTCCTATGTCATCTTCAGAATCATTGGACCCATTGTTGCAGCCACGGTCGGTGTCAATCCATCTTGTTGATTCCATTAAAGGTTTTCCTTTTTTCGCGGACCCTCTACTTTTCTAGGAGCCCTGGTGTGGCGCAGTGGGAGATTGCACTGGATCACAATGTCGTTTCAACCGCAGGATCGACGGTTCAAACTCACTAGCCAGTCCTTGGAAACCCTGAACAGGGTCGCTATGCGTTGGAACCGACTCGACGGCACTTAACAATAACTACTTTTCTAAGCGTGATATTCATCTCTAGGGATAACATGTGTAAAGTACATGAAACGAAAGATACCAAAGTCCTTATAGTGATGTCCTCTTACCTGCTGCAACCTACCACCTCCCATGACCCCCTGCTTCTCATCTTCAGCTCTCCTGGACTTCCAGCTGGTACTGAAGATGGTTCTCATAATTCCTACCTCATAACTCCCACCGCAGGGCCATTGTTCCTGCTATTCCCTCTGCCTGAAACACCCTTCCTCCACAAGTGAACGTGATGTCCCTCCTCCTTTAGGGCTTTACTTAAAGCTCATTTTTGCAATCACATCTTCCCTGGCCACTGGTTATAAGATTTCAACTTGTTCTCAACCTCCCCTGCCAATTTTTAATATCTCCTCCTTACTGTACCTTTCTCCTTTGTTACTGTTGTTGTTAAGTGCTGTGGACTCATAGCCACCCTGTATAGGTTTCCGAGGAGTGACTGGTGGGTTTGAACTGCCAACCTTGTGGTTCAAACCGACCTTGTGTCCCAGTACTTTATCCTACGTGCCACCCCTTAGTATTAATCATTGTACGTATTTAACTGAGTTGTTGTATGTCTCCCTTACTGCCCTCCACAGGACAGAGATGTTTCTGTATTTATTGCAGCCACACACCTTAGAAGTGTCTAGAACATCGTAGGCATTCAATAAAATTTTGTTAAACAAGTGTTACCTCGCGTAATAATGTGAGTTTCAGCATCTTTTGAAGAATCAGCCTCCTATTTGCCCTGACAACAGGAAGCTACAATAGACTAGCATCCACACCCTTGGCAGGGTATCCGCAGCCCCCAGCCGAGTCAGCTGTCTCATTTCATTTGTCTGCCTACCTCCTGTAGTATTTGAACATAGCACCATCATCCCCCTCACAAAATATTATCACTGACTGTTGTGCGTTGAACTGCGTCTCCCTGAAAGACATGCTGAAGTTCGAATCTCCTATACCCATGAATGTGACTGTATTTGAATATGAGATCTTGGCAGGTGTAATCAAATTAAGATGAGATCATACATGTTGCCATTGAGTCAATTCCAACTCATGATAACCCCATGCTTGTCCTTGTAGAACTCAGCTCCGTAGGGTTTTCTTGGCTGTGATCTTTATGGAAGTAGATTGCCAGTCATTTCTTCCACTGTACCTCTGTTGTTGTTAAGGGGTTGTCAAGTTGGTTCTGATTTATAGTGACCCCATGTGCAACAAAATGAAACACTACCTGCTCCTGCTCCATCCCTACAATCTTTCTTATGTTAACCCATCGTTGTACCCACTATGCCAATCCATCTCGTTGAGAGTCTTCCTCTTTTTCGCTGACACTTTACCAAGCATGATGGCCTCCAAGGATTGGTTTCTCCTGAGAAAATGTCCAAAGTACATAAACGAAGTCTTGGGATCTTTGCTTCTAAGGAACATTTTAGGCATACTTCCTCTAAGACAGATTTACTTGTTTTCCTGGTATGTTCAATATTCTTTACTAACACCCTAATTCAAAGGCATCCACTCTTCTTCAGTCTTCCTTATTAATTGCCCAGCTTTTGCATGCATGTAAGGCAACTGAAAATAAAACCATGATGGCTTGGGTCATCAGATGCACCTTTGTCTTCAAAGTCACATCTTTGCCTTTTCACACTTTAAAGAGATCTTTTGCAGCAGATATGCCCAATGTGATATGTTATTTTGGAGTCCTGGTGTAGTGCTGGACTGTAAAGTTGATTTGAGCCACAAGGTTGGCGGTTCAAGCTCACCAGCTGCTCCTTGGAAACCCTATACAGGGTCGCTATGAGTTGGAACCAACTCGACGGCACTTAACAACAACAATGAAGTGGCACATGTCCCTTCTGATTACATGTCATATGACAAGGCCGTGAGATAGAGTCATCCTGTAGGAAGAGGCTTCCATGGACCAAATCATGAGGAATTTTAGGGTCATAAGCAGAAAAGTACAACAGACCCAAGCCATGATATTTTCAATTGCCTCATATTCATGGGAAGGGTCCCTATGAGTCAAAACCAACTCAACAGTACTTCATATAAACAACAGCATACGCATGTGGAAGCTGGACGATGTGGAAGAATGAATGCATTTGAGTTATGGTGTTGGAGAAGACTAGTGAAAGTACCATGGGTTGCCAGAAGAACAAACAAATATGTGTTGGAATCAAGTACAGCCCAAATGTTCCTTAGAATCAGGTTTGGTGAGGAGGGTGAATGAAAAACAGAAAGACTCCCAATGTAACATAATGACACAATGGCAGCAGCATTGGATCATGTGTACCAACAATTGTGAGGATGACGTAGGCCCAGACACTGTTTCGTTCTGTTGTGCATAGGATTGCTATGAGTCGAAACTGACTCAATGGCACCTAAGAGCAACAAGCTGCCAAGTAGCATAGTCATATTGGGGCTTCAAAAAGACTCCTCGGGCCGCCTAGTGGTCAATGGATCAGAGCGGATGTTGGGGCAAGGATCCCCATGGGGAGGCCATGGTCACCTGGGTCAGAAGCGCTTTGCTTTGTGCTCTCCCACCTGCCACTGGTCTAAGAGTCCTCAATATAGAGGACTTGTTGTGGCCTACCCCAACCTGCACCCCGTCCCCCCAAAAATAACACTTTATAATTTGTTGTTCTCAGATGCTGTTGAGTCAGTTCCCACTCATAGCAGCCCTATCGATGCACAACAGAACAAAACCCTGCCCACTCTTGCTCCATCCTCACTTGAACCCATTGCTGCTGCCACTGTGCCAATCCTTCTCATTGGGCAATCTTCCTCTTTTTCACTGACCCTCCACTTTACCAAACTTAATGCCATTCTCCAGGGACTGGTTCCGCCTAATAATATGTCTGAAACAAGAGAGGCCAAGTCTCACCATCCTGTCTTTTAAGGAACATTCTGACTTCTTCCAACACAGATTTGTTTGTTCTTCAAACAATCTGTGGTACTTTTAATATTCTTCTCCAAAACCATAACTCAAATGCGTCAATTCTTCTACGGTCTTCTTTATTCATTGTCCAACTTTTACATGCATATAAGGCAATTGAAAATACCATAACTTGGGCCAGGCACACCTTAGTCCTCAAACTGATATCTTTTGCTCTTGAACAAT